GGATTAACATTCCCGGCACAATGGGAGGGATGAAGAAACCAGAGAGAGTGAATAGATTTCAAATAGGTCTAGATAAACAAGCAAGAAATTGTGACATTGAAGAGGTGATACGAGAATATAGGATATGCGAATAGCCCAAGACAGAAGGAGAGATACCACAACTGTTTAGCACACCTTTGGTCAAAGTATCGACTAAACTTGTCTCTTTTACAAGCTGTAGTGTGGTGCTACGACTGGCAAGGCTCACTGACAATGCCGGCGAAACCTCTGAGAATGTATCAAGTCCGAGGTCCAACTCTGGAAATTATCTTGCATACTATCAACTCCGAACAAGCTGTGTTCCTCTAGTTCTTCCTGCCAATATGAGCAATTTGCGGAAACAAAGTCAAACAACTTACATTCATGCAAAATCCACACCATTCTGGTTTTCATATCTTCGACTAGTCTTTTCTTGTCTTGAAAAAAGTGTCATTAAGAATATTACAGTTAAGCTAATTTACATCTATTCAAGAGGAATCTACTATCGCCTTCTAATGGGATCGACCTACAACAAACACTTTCACTCGAAATGGATGTAAGCTCAACAATTATGAAACAATAGATTCCTCAAATCCCAACTTCACATAAAGGGTATCGACCCTTCGAAACTTTTTTCGATCTTTTTTAAACATTACTGAGTCAGCACACCTTGTTAGGTTTTTCCAAACATTTACGTTAGAACCTCTAGTGGAAAATATAATTATAAGCACAGGCATGTGCCGGTACTATTACTAATCTCCTTTTCTTACTCCGTATACATCAACATTTTATAAACTCGTTTTGGTATAGGTAACTGTAAAAGGGGAAATCACTTCAATTTAGACAATTTAATATTTTATTTGAGGTAAATTGATTTCTCTTGTAACCATGTGAATCTAACTTTGTGTGAACCTGTATATAGAATGTCTTTTTATAATTGTCCTACACCTTCTACTAGTTACGTGAGTCAAAATCGGCTTGCTTATCTCTCGAAAAGGAGCTGGAGTTGGCCAAGATCCAGGTTTCTAGTCTTGAAGCTGTGCTTAAGATTCAGGAACAACAGCTTTGCCGTTCTGTTTCTACTGAAATGGCTGCGACTTCAAAAGTTACATCTCTGACGAAAGCTGAGGATCTCTTTGTTCGTCGATCACTTCCCTTTATAACGTAAGGATTTTCACTACATGTTCTTAAACTTTATTATGCTTCTCAGTTAGCTATATGGTATTATTATCATTAGCGATGCCTGTACACAAGCCAACAAATCATAATTAAAAAAAATATATATGAATATTTTTATATTATGTATTTTAAAATATATAAAACAAACTAGATTATGGCGCATGAAAATAAAAGCCAATTTTTAGAATTACTGAGGTGCACGCTTTAAGTTTTATTTATAATGCTAAATCCTCACTAGAATAATTAAATTGCCAAAGGTGGCTTTCATCTTATATTGACATTTTTTGCAGGATTATCAATGAGCGTAAATTGCCTTTTCATAAATGGTATTTGATCTGCTAATAAAATAGGAAAGCTCTGTAATTATTATCAGTATTGTTTCGCTACCTCTCTTATCTAGAATTGATAAAAATTAGGCTTAATAAGCTGAACCTTCTTTTTATCATCTAATCTGTATATGTTTTCCAGCCACTCATTCAATTTTTGTTCAGTTGAACGATTTTCTTTCAGGCTTAAAACTTCTTCAAACTATTTAGATATGAGTTGCTTTCGATACCATTTGTAATTCTTCTTTAAGAACTTAGCCTAGGTGCTTATGGTGATTTAAGGACCTGTAGTTGACTTATTCCCACAGTAAGGTGAATAGGTCTCAGGATGACATTGAATTTAACCTAGAATGGCTTCTTAAAAGTTTATTTTATCCGGGGTGAGCTGAAGTTTTATTTTTGCTTATGTTTCACTAGTACGCCCAGTGTAATTTGATCCCGAGTTATTAGTATCGTGTTGACGTTACACCACTTACTATACAGTGGGACAGAGAACAGATGCGAATTTCAAGACAAGACAAGCCTTTTCAAACTCACATTTACAGCAATGAATGATTTCTTTGCTGTCCATTCATAATCCTAACAGTGATGCTCGGTGCACTGTCTTGCCACTCAAACGAATCCGTTGTGCGGTTTAATTTATTATATAGTGAAAGAAGCTATTCTTTAGCAAAACCATAGAAAGTACGCTGAGATTTGAAAATCTTGATTGTATTGTATCACATGTATTTTGAACCACATAGTAGTCTAAGCGATGCCGAAAGCTAGCGTTTATCTCTAACCTTCCAGCATTTACTACGAACTTAGCACTACAATTAAAAAATCTTCACTATCCGTACAACTAATTTATATTCACGATTTTGTCTTATTTGGAAACAAAATAATCGAAATATTAGAAAAAACTTGGTTTCGAAGACTCTCTTAATAGACTGCTATTAGCATTCTTTCCATTTCATTGGAAGAGAGGAGTAAAAGGGATTCGTAAATTGGCCCCACGCGAATCTAAATGATTATTTCCTTGGAGTCGCGATTGTAGATATGTGCAAATAATTCATCGGCGCGTGGTCTCGATACCCCAATGAATCCGTGCCTAGCTTTCGTGTCACATGACAGATATCGTCTGAGAACGAAACCATGTTTTATGATAATTCAATGAATCTAGTGTAGTGTAGTGCACTACCCTGCTGGGAGTGTTGAGACGAGATCGGAATTGCAGTCAATCTTTGATGAGAATGCATTTTAAGAAGCATGGCTACGTCAAATTCAATAGAAACGCAAGTTCCATTCAGATCATTGTGGAAAATAATACTACTGGTCCTTCATCACATTAACTAGATAGGGTGAATACATAGTATATATATATATATGATCTACTGGTAGTCTCGAAAAGCTACTTATCAACGAAAAATATTTTACGCTTTTCCTATATGCTTTCAGTAAAGTTCCTGCGGATGGCATATTAATTGGATGAATTGTGAGCGAACAGCTGCATTCCCTCCTGTAATGTTGGTGCAGGTAATTGCGTTACATTCCGTGTGTGTTGCATGCATTTAATGCTCGTTAGGTGTTAATGTGCTGACCAAATTCGAGGCTGATCAAGTTTCTTATCGGAGGTACTTGTTACCCCTTTCTCCCTTTAAGCCTATCCAATAGTCACGAGTAGTTGTCGCTTTAATTTCTACATTTTCCTTTATTCAGGGTTTTAGCAGTTTGATGGATTTCTATAGATCCCCTCTTTAATCTTCCATTTGTTGATCTAGTCTCTGTATCCCGCTAAGTATTTTACTTTAGACTAATCTGTATGTTGTCCTGTATGAGCCGAGTTCGGCCTGTTTCTATTTTTGGACCCACAAACTTTTTCGGGATGCTTCATATTCAGATAGCTTCTTTTATATGGCTCCGCAGGACTTTCTTACAAAGACGATACCAAATCTCCGTATCGTGCTTTACAATTTTTTTTGTTTATGCGGACGTGTCTATGCAAGGGAGCCCTACCGACACATACGTAAGAGGGAATCTGTATACAAAACATCCTGTAAAGGTTTGAGAGTCCGAAAATCTGAGCCTTGCTTTTCAAAAGATGTTCTCACTCAAGTTGGACTGCAGATTTGACATCGTCTAGGTTTCATCAGCACCCCCAGCTGGACTCGAACCTAAGTAATGCAGCTTATATTCTCGAAAACCTACTTATAAACGAAAAAATATATTTTTTTCCTAGGCAGTACAATTCTACGAAATCCCCATCTTCTACTCTGACCGGCTTGCTGACTGCCTGGCGTAATCAGGTGCTCCGACTGCTCGTACAACGTGAGGTGGCTGCACTGGCAGCCCATCAACATCAGGCTAATGAAAGACTACTTCGTGAGTCCGTGGAGTCTGCCCAAAAAAGTTCTGAGGAAGCTGCAGAGACGGCCCGTCTACGGATGAATGCAGCTATTGCGGCTGCAGAGGCAGATAGGCAGAAGCGTGAGGTGAGCATGTCCGTGTTAGGCTATTAGCTATCCATATCTTCTAAGCAGAAATTCTTGTAGATACTTTTATTTAGTATGAAAGTTCATGACAGGGAGATTTGTAAGTCGATCTCACCAGAAGATGAAGGTTGTTTTCCGCTGTACTGCAGCTTTAGCCGTTTGGCTTTAATACGACGTTCGAGTTTAAGCATTTCATTGGAGGTAACAAATATTTCTGAAAAACTACCGGTTGAATAAAAAAGAGCTAGAAATGGAAGTACTTTTAGCAATCTTGGCGCATCAAGAAACCGCGAATAGAAACAATATAATCAAGATATATAAGGGATTTTAAATAAACGATCCAATAGTTCTAGAAGCAGAAAAATGATGTGCCACAGTAGTGATAGACAGGAAGGCATATACAGAGGAAATGAAAAGTAATACCAGGGCCACAAGAACTTATAAATTTGCTGGAGAGAAATTCATTTCATATTAAAATACATGAATAAGAGATTCGAAGGTCGATCTCACCATAAGAGGACGGCTGAAGCCTGTTGTATTGCAGCCGTTTGGCTTTAATACAACGTTTATGTTGACGCAGTTCATGAAACCACTTCCCTAGTTTCGGACGAAAACGGGCTGAGTTTTCGTCCATCATTTGATGGAGATTATCAGAGCTTAAACTCATTCTTATAAGGCTTAAAACCCTCTCTCTCCTTCAATTTACCAACCAATCATATATCGTCCATACTCAAGTTTCCTCCATCATTCCTCTCATTCAATATATTCCATAATCTATTAATTTCAATAGCTTCTCTTATCTTCCTTTTACCAGCAGACGTACCATAATCAGCAACCCCACTAGCTTGAGACCATTCTATCTCATATCATGTCTCTGGCTTGCGTGTTCGGCCACTTCTGACCTTTGGACCCATCTTCCTTTACAAGCATTTTTGTGTTCCCCCAATCTTTGTCGAATATGTTGACATGCCTCATCAACATAAGGTCGAACACAGGAATACAATCTTGTAGCACCTGGATCTCCATAAATGATTATATTTCTCTATGAAAGATGGCATAACAGAAGAAAGTGTGAGGGTTTCTTTAACAACTATTTTTATCCCGCACTTCCTCACTAATTGCCTATCTTTTTAGAAAGAAGGCATGCAATAGAACCAGAATAAACTGTCTACTTATAGTGAGAGCGACCTTCGAATCCCTTTTTCATGCACTTTCATGGGAAACGAAAATTTCCCCAACAATGACATATCAAGACATTTATCGAAACCCAGTTACTCCTCATATCTACAACTTATCAACTTATCAACTGTTAACAAAAGACCCATTTATTAAAATTAACATGGTTCGCAAGAAGCGCTGGAGGAAATGAATTATAACTTGGAATATAGAAGTGGGCAATACATCATATGGGATGTATTCACTCTAATTTTCAAGTTGATGCAGGATTGATAGTTGAATGATACGAGTTTAGCTGAAGCTTGAAATCTCCTTATAGTAGTGGATTGGTCTCGTTGTCGCCACTTAGTCTTGCTGTCAGGTGGATTTAGTAGAATGCACCTAGTCCGAAGTCATCTGCCATAGTAGTTGTCATAATTCCCAGTATCAGAATCATGAGGTGCGTTATACCTAGTCTCCCTGAAAACAAGACCAAGCTGCGACGAGGTCAACCCAGTTCTATAAATCGAAAAGAGACTGCGACCATATCAGAGGCCACACCATCTTGATCTTCATATCTTCAATTGAAGTCTCCTTGTTTTTAATGGAAGTGTCAGCTCTACTCGTATCATTGTGGGCAAATTCAACTACCAGTCTTTTATCATCGTATATGAAATAGGGAAAATAAATCGCATATGACTGATTTACTGAAAGTCTCGAAAGCCTACTTATAAACGAAAAATGGACAATGAATTCACTCCTGTGGCAAAAGCCACAGTAACATATGGTTTGCCGAAAGTACACAAAGAAGAACTATTGAGGTTAATATTCAAAAACATACTCGGAGCAATACAAACTGGTGAAGGTATGAAGACCAAGATGGTGTGGCCTTTTGTGTGGTCGCAGTCTCCTTTCGTTTTATATACGTAATTTGACATTGTTTTCACAACTTGGTCATATTAGTTGGAAGCCATTAAGGAAGGCACCTAATCCGGAGTCCATTGTATGCATGATAATTTCCAGAGTCCGATCGTGGACGTGTTACACTCCCAGACGTTTCGTCGACATCGAAGTTGGCATCGTCCGTAAGTCTAGCCATTAGTAGCACCACACTACAACTCGTCAAAGAGACAAGTGAAGCCGATCCTTTGACCAATTGTCTGTTAAACAATCGTGGTATCTCTTCTTCTCCCCTCGACTAATCATCAATCCTATATCCTCGTATCACGCCTTCACTAAAACAATTTTTACTTGCTTATTTAATTGTGTATTGTGTGCTCTTTTTAGCTGATTTCATGGGAACTCTCCACACTACGCTGGCTTTCTCACCCCCCTCACTCATTCACCCTTGTACTGGGAATTTTGATCAGAGTCTGCCATATTGTTAATAAATTTTTCTTTCCATAGATCTTATTAGAATCTCTCTTGCCCGTAGGATCCGTCTGCTAGAGCTAGTTTGCTAACGATAGACGTGGTTCATGGTCCACGTTTATTATCAAAACGTATATTAGCCAAATACCTCTAGTCTCCACTGCATCTATCCTGTTTCAAACCTTAATTACAAGTCTATAACTTGCTATGCCCTAGTCTCTTGTGTGCCAATCTATAAATGTTGCGGTACTGCTTGCTTTGATTAGTTTCAATGTTGAACCACAACATTTGTGGGTTGGCAGACAAGAGACTAGGGCATATCAAGTCATAGACTTGGTATTAAGTATATAAACAGGATAGACGCGATGGAGACTAGAGCTAGTTGGCTGACAGTAGGACTATTTTACCATAGACGTGGTCCATGAAGCAAAGGCTTGACCATGAGAATTACTCAGGGGCTTTAGCCTCGAATTAATCTCCCAGAGGCAGAGTGTGACTAATAATGCCTCGAGTAGTACATATGGGGTGGCAGGGGTAGATTTAAATAATTGAACCAGTGTGATAGCAGACGCATCCTACGGGGCAAGAGGAAGACTGACAAGACCTAGGGAAGGAGGACTGCGTAACAATATGACGGACTCTGATCAACATTCCCAGCACCAGGTTGATAGGGGGTGAGTGAGGTGGGAAAGTCAGTGTGGAGTCTAGAGAGTTCTCATGAAGGACGATCACAAGGTTACTCCATACCATATTTAAATAAGCAAGTAAAAAATTGTGATAGTGAAGGCGTGATATAGGATTGGTGATTACCCCATTGGGAAGGAAACATACCATTATTGTTTAGCCAACAATTAGCCTAAGGATCGTCTTCACTTTTCTCTGATGAGTTGTGGTATGGTGCGAAGTCTGACAAGACTCACTAACGATGCCGACTACGTTGCCGAGGAAACGTCAGACTGGAAATTTTCATTCATACAATGGCCTCCGGACTAGGTGCGTTGCTCTACCAAATTAAGCAAGTTGCGAAAACAAGGTCAAACAACTTTTGGCCAAATTTATCTCGCTCAAATTGAAGGTGACTAGCGGACTATCGAAAGCAGTGAACAACTCATACAAAGATATGAAGACCAAGATGGTGCGGCCTTTTGTGTGGTCGCAGTCTCCTTTCGTTTTATATACGTTGTTTGACCTTGTTTTCCCAACTTGGTCTTTTTGGTAGGAAGACTTAGAGGAAAGCACGTAGTCTGAGTCCATTGTATGCATGATCATTTCCAAAGTCGGACCGTGGACGTTGTACATTCCAAGATGTTTCGCCGGCATCGTCAATGAGTCTCGCCACTCTTAGCACCACACAACAACTCGTCAGACAAGTGAAGCCAGAGAAAAACTGTAACCGTGGCGTTGTGATAGGAGGATATAGAAAATGTGATAGCCCAGGGCAGAAAGGGAGATACCAAAACTGTTTAGCACACGTTAAGTCAAAGGACAGGCTTACTTGTCTTTGACGAGTTGTTATATGGTGCTAAGAATGGCGATACTCAGTGAAGATGCCGACTTCGATGCAGGCGATACGTCTGGGAATGTACTACGCTCAGTGTCCTACTCTGTAAATGATGAAGCATACAATGGACTCCGGACTAGGAGCGTTCCTCTAAGTCTTCCGACCAATATGATGAAGTTGCGAAAACAAGGTCAAACAACTCATATACAACAAAAGGAGACTGCTAACACACAAAAGGCCACACCATCTTGGTCTTCATATCTTCGAGCAATACCACTTTTAGCACCACAAAACAACTCGTCAAAGAGACAAGTGAAGCCGATCCTTTTACCAAGCGTGTGCTAAACAGTTGTGGTATCTCCTCTTCTGCCCTGGGCTATATACATTTCCTATGTACTCCTATCACGCCTATGTTACAATTTTTACCGTGTTTATTTAGATGTAGTGTGGTTTGCTTCTTTGAGCGGCACTCTTAAAAACCCTTCACACTTCACGCTGTCGTTCTCACTCCCTTCACCCTTGTGTTGGGATTGTTAGTCAGAATCTACCATGTTGTTACGCTGTCCTCCTTTCCTCGGTCTTAGCACAGTCTCTCTCTTGCCCCGTAAAATCCTTTTGCTTTCTCTCTGGTTTACGTATTTCATTCGACCCCTGCCACCCCATATATGCTACTCGAGGCGTTATTTGCTCTCCCCTGCGTCTGGGTGGCTAATTCGAGGCTACTGCCTCTGAGTAAGTCTCATAGTCACCCCTTTGCTACATGGACCACGTCTATGGTAAAAATAGACCTACTGTCAGCCAACTAGCTCCAGTCTCCGCCACGTCTATCATGTTTTTATCTCTAATACCAAGTCTATGACTTCCCATGCCCTAGTCTCTTGAATGCCAACCCTCAAATATTGTGGTTTAACATTGCACCTAATCAAAGCAAGCAGCACCATAACATTTGTGGGTTGTCAGACAAGAGACTTTCGGGGCAAGAGAGAGATTGTGATAAGACCTATGGAAGGATGACTGCGTAACAATATGGCAGACTCTGATCAACATTCCAAACATAAGGGTGAAGAGGGTGATAACGGCAGCGTGGACTGTGAAGGGATTTCATGAATGTCGCTCAAAGGAGCACACCACACTTCATCGAAATAAGCACGGTAAAAATTGTAAAGTTGAAGGCGTGATAGGAGGGTATACGAAATCTGAATAGCTCAGGGCAGAAGGGGGGATACCACAACTGTTTAGCACACGTTCATTATTTGTCTCTTTGACGAGTTGTTATGTGGTGCTAAGAATTGCGAAACTCACTGACAATGCCGACTACGATGCCGGCGAAGCGTTTGGGAATGTACCCCGTCCACGGTTCAACTTTGAAAATGATCATGCAGACAATGAACTCCGGACCAAGTGCGTTCCTCTAAGTCTTCCTACCAATATTACCAAGGTGCGAAAACAAGGTCAAACAGCTCATACCAATTTTGCTGAATAATCAAAGGCACGAATTTGGAAGCATATTCATGTTTAGTCCGTGTATACTAACCTCGGGCTTATATCAATAATAAAAGGGGGCCGATCATTAAATAGTTTATTATTCGATTAATCAACTTAACAATAAAAATATCTATTTTACGTTCAACTGCCACATCTATGAGCAAATATTTGGACTGGAATGCAGTTTCAACATCGTCTAGGTCTCATCAGCATTTCTAGCGGGACTTGAAATCGGGTAGTAACTTTAAGATGTTGTTTCTATATTTTCAGACCTTTGATCTTGCGCGTAAGACTTGAATTTTTTCATTACTCTCATCCCCTTCTCTTGGTTATAGTTTGCCGAATCTCGCGTTGCTCAACTAACTACTCAGCTATCGACTATGCGCGACGATATGCGATGTTTGAAGTCCGCTTGCAACTCCCTTTACAAGGAGACCTTTATGGGACTTGATACGCTGATGCGCCAGCTCGGACTGGCTGGCTTGATGCAGAAGCCCTCTATGGAGTCAAGCGACAGACGGAACACTAATCAAAACGCTATTAAACCCGACCTTAAACAGTCACAAGACAGAGCCCGAGTCCACCTCAGAATGGCACATCCTACCCATGCTGAAACAGAATGTCAATCTGAATCGGAAACAGACAATTTACCGAATCCTGGTTCAACTCCATCGGTAGTGAGCAATTTGCTAAGTCTCTCTAGGCTAGGGCATATATCTTATTCACAACAGACCCCTTTTATGTCGCTAGTTTTGCACAGGCTTCGTGAGCTCGATCGTCGACTAGCTTTTGCCTGCCAACGCCTTCCTATGCTCAGTATCCAAATGGCCAGATATCGCCGCAACTCAGCCATGGCAGCAATCTCAGCCAATGGGGACTTCATCTCACGGTCCTCACGAGCCTGCCAAACGGTTGAATCGTCTTCTCCTAATATTATGGAATCCTTGTACGGCTGGCATTCAGAAACAGATAATGTGGTCAGTGGATTAGGACCATTGGCTTTTGAGGAACTTAAGTCGTAAGTTTATACTAGCTGATTTGCATTTCCACTTTATGTATATATCGCTTCTTCTTCCTCACATAATCCACCACCCCTCTGCCCGCCTATACATTGAGTAAAACGTACCTTTGTAAAATATTTTTTGTCACAATTTTCTTTGTATCTTTTCCCAAAGGATTGCTCGTCAAGCTGAACTAGAGGCAGCCAAGGCGGCAAGAGAACGCGAGATTGCCATAAGGCAGTTGGAAGTAGATACCAAAACTTTTAATGAACGCGTAGATGCTGTTCGCGCTAGTGGTGAGTCTCGTTAATTTTTTTATTATGTCATAAATTTCATAGACCTACAGTACTTAAAATTGCAGAATTGCAGAATCCTCTTCATTACAACTCCTCTATCCTCGACTTAACCTGTACGATCTGTCTTGTTTCTTACATCTTTAGATGCCCATAGCTGTCAGCCTTTTTGCCCATTCTAGGTCAAGGCTATAAGTGATTTTAAGCCCCCAATTAACTTGGCTTACTTACAAAAATAAATTGAGAAGTATTAAGGCTAAAATATAAATACTAATAATGCGTCTTCAGTTGTAGTAGAAATTTCGATTCGTGAGTTCGTTCATTTTCTTCGTATCCTGAACGTTTTCAGGGGTAACTTTCATAATATCTACAATGATGGGATAGGGTAAATGTTTTGAAATTGATAGATATCAGCCAATTCACTCTATTTTAGTGAAAAATTCTCTGACAGGACCATTTTTAGCTTTATATGCGAAATATTGATAAAAATAATTCAATATATTTTCCAAGTTGTGTAAGTGCTAAAATTTGTTTGTGGTAAAAAAATCAATGGTTAGTTGGCCAAATTTGATTTTGCTACCACATCCTTCTACAGATGCTTTCCTGTTTGTTGTAGGCCCAAGCCTTGGCCTTTTTCACGTGTCAGCAACACCTTTAGTTGAATTCTAACATGTCAGGAGACACAAAGTCCAAAGTTTTGAAGGAAGAACGAGTTTTAAAAAATGTTTAAAGATGTAATGCGACATGAATTTCCATTTCTAAGAAAAATTACATTGGAAGGTATTCGTTAAATGGTCTTGCCGGAAACCAAAGGAGGATTGACCTTGTTTTCA